GCATCCAGCCCGTCCGCCCATCACCCCCATTCGGCCCCGTGCAAATGCCAAGCCCTTCAGCACATTCTCGTGCGATTACATCACGGACTTGCCACCGTCCAATGGCTTTGATTCCATTTTGGTCGTAGTGGACCACGACCTTACGAAGGGGGTAATTTTCATCCCATGCAACAAAACAATTGACGCTCTTGGGACGGCAGATGCAATGTACCGAGAGGTCTACAAGTGGTTTGGACTCCCAGACAAAATCATCAGTGACCGAGGACCGCAATTTGCGTCCAAAGTCTTCCAGGAACTTTGCAAAATGACTGGGGTCCAATCAGCCATGAGTACAGCATTCCATCCGCAAACCGACGGCGAGACAGAACGAGTGAACCAAGAACTGGAGATCTACCTCCGCTGCTTCACTGCCAATGACCCGGATAAGTGGGCTGACCATCTTCACACCGCGCAATTTGCTCACAACTCCCGCGAGCACTCCACGACGAAGGCGTCCCCGTTCAAACTCATGATGGGATACGAACCTCGCGGAATACCCACCGCGCACCCCGGATCAAACACGCCCCAAGCAGCTTATCGCCTCAAGGACTTGCAAAACATCCGCGAAGAAGCACATGCGGCAATGGAGATGGCCCAGAACGTCCTGGCCAAGAGAGTAAAAAGGAAGGGGGGTTCCTTCCGTAAAGGTCAGCTGGTATGGCTAGACTCCTGGAACTTGAAGCTGCCGTACCCGTCCAGGAAACTAGCCCCGAGGCGAGAAGGGCCGTTCAAAGTCCTAGACAAGATCGGAACGGTCGCGTACAAGCTAGACTTGCCTAGCACCTGGCGAGTCCACCCCGTTTTCCACGAATGGCTTCTATCTACTCGGAAACGGAGATCCATGGTCCGAACTACACGAGGCCACCCCCTGACCTTATCGAAGGCGAAGATAACTACGAAGTCGAAGCCATCATCGGACATCGAGAGAACAAGAGGATGCGGCGCCGCGAATATCGCGTCAGGTGGAAGGGTTACTCAACAGCCGATGACTCATGGGAGCCCGAAGCGAACCTGACTGGGACGGCTGACGAAGTGTTGGCAGAATATAAGAACAGGAAGGACTTGAGCTAAGTCGTCAGCAGCTCTACCCAGTCGCTACATTCCCACTCGCACCAACATGTCTTCCACCCTCCCGTTCCTCGACCAGTTCAACGCCCCCTCGACCGAAGGCGGGAAAAGGCTCTCAATCTACACCCCTAAGCACACCCGACGTCGGTG